TATTGGCCCTCACTGATAGAACCCCTTAATTTTTTTTTTTTTTTTTTTTTTGCTACAATAGCAAAGTGAGATATCTTTCAAAATACGTTAAGGGGACATATTCTAAAATATCAGCCCTGTAAGCATTTACCTTATGTTTAAACATTTATTTTCTTTCAAAAGTGGGAGCTTACAACCAGGGCATCAGTGTCTTTCTGTATTCATAGAGTGAAAGGGCACACACAAAATGCTGCTTTTCTTCCTTCTCAAAAGGCACACATTTAATTTCTGACTATGATATCCAAAGCACAAACCAAACTACCCTCAAAATAAAAGTAGAACAGTTGAACAGATCAACAAAGAAAGAGTAAACGCTATTCAGTGATTGTTTTAGAAGTTGAAGAAGTTCCTCACAAAATGCTATTAAAGAAATTGTTTGGCTGTGGGAGAAAGATGAAGTTCTTAGAAAGGAGGAAATAAGAAGAGGTAAAACAGTCATAGAAGAGGAAGAATGTCTTAGAGTTAAGCAAGGATGTGAGATCATATTAGTGACAGAAAGAACAACACAGAGAAGGAAGCAACAAAGATAACACATGTAAACTGGTGAAGACAGTAGGACATGGCAAGAATTTCTGGAGAATCAGACAAGCTGGACCAACCCTTCCTTCCATATTTCCATAAGGAAGAGACATGCCACATCTGGAAATCCCTCAGGCCACACAAAGGAAGAAAGAGGTGCACAGCTTTGAGCTAGATCCATAGATTATTTCATCAAGAAGGACTTTTGCCCTATTCTCTCCCAGGGGAACAGCTGGAAAGAATTCTACGTAGCTATATCCTTTATTTCCCGTAAGAGCTTCCCCTCTGACTTATAATTACAGTAGAAGAAGATTAAGCTATTAGTCAAGACAGCAACTGATGAGATTTAGTGAAGACAACTACTGCAAATCAAGAAGAACAAATTGAGCTCATCACACACTTAAATTGAGGCAATTAACTCAGGAATTACTTTGGTTCACTAAAGAGAAACATCTTCTCATTACCCAGTAGTGGTAAGAGACAAACTATGTTAAACTAAGAAAAATAACTGAAAAGGTATTTACACATTTGGCTTTTATAACCTAATTTAGGATACAGCATCCAGTTCTAGTTAGCAGACACACAGCCTAAGCAGATGTTCATTCGGCAAACAACGATGCTAGACAAAGCTGGTATCACTCCCAGATGTTTATCACTGCCACCCTGCCAGAGCTAATTACTTCCACAGCTCTACCACTGAGCCCACAGAACACGTGAATCATTTCTGATCATTTTTACATGAAGTCAGCTAGGCTAGTTCAACCCGCTGTTAAAGGTGGCTATGATGTAAACCAGCTGACTTGGTCTGAAGCACATTGCTGTGCACTCATACAACCCCTGCTCTTGGCTGACCTATTAGTGTGGTAATTTCTGGCTCATGTGTGGCGATTATCAACTCACAGCAGGACCATCTTTAACCAGCACAGCTATACCCAATACTATATGGCCTAAGGTATCTGAAGTGGGCCTAAGAACACATGACTTCTGGACAACTTAGCTTTAAAAATGCCAATTATTCTTTGTTAAAGAAATCAAGAGTAGAAGGAAAACTGTGCATTTGTGTTATAACCAAAGAGTTACAAATAAAAAAAAAAATAACCCGAGGCTGAGAGTCAGCCAGTCTGCTTCATGCAGAACAGAATTAACTCTCATTCTATTTATTTTGAAAACAAAGTGTGAGGAAAACCCAAGGACGTGTTTAAGGTCATGTAAACTGGAAGCTGATGCATGAACTGCCATCAGAAACTCCACTGATATCTGTGGCAAAAGGGCATTCATAAAAGCATTGTGTTCCGCAAAATAAAGCGAAAGGAAAAAAATTCAAGCCTTTAATAAAAATAAGTATGAAGGTAAAACGTGGAGTAGAAAGGAAGCTAAGTTAAGAGGGATAATCATAATTAGAAATGTGGAGACTTTGTGCAAGTTAAGGAGTATCTAAGAGAAGAGATTAAAGGTGAGCAGAAACATGTACACAAAGTAATCACTTAACATACATCACTCCTCACTTACTCCTTCATAATTAAGAGCAAAGGGACCACCCAGTAACGTTAACATAAGGTGCAAGTAAGCTGTTGGAGTTCAGTAATATAATTTTTAACATATACAAGCTACAACAGATGTTTGTAAGAGATATAAATAGTTATGCTTCAGGGTATAAACCAACCACTAACTGTCTTAGGGTTGTGAAGAAACTACCCAACAGACTTGTTAACAAGTAATTGTTCCTTCTAATTTTCCCCCATACGCATTCCTTTGAAGTCCTTCAGAGAGAAATGGACGATTGGCAGATTCAGCATAGAATCAAGAAACAGTCTAGGAGGTTCCTGGAGTGTGTGGAAGATGATAACTTCCTGACACAGCTGGTGAGTGGCCCAACTAGGGAAGGCACCAGGCTGGACCTGTTGCTTGCAAACAGAGGACTTGTGGGTGATGTGACGGTTGGAGGTCATCTTGGGCATAGCAATCACTAAATAATAGAGTTTTCGATTCTCAGAGAAGTAAGGAGGGGGGTCAGCAGAACTGCTACCTTGGACTTCCGGAGGGCAGACTGTGGCCTGTTTAGGAGCCTGGCTGACAGAGTCCCTTGGGAGGCAGTCCTGAAGGGCAAAGGAGTCCAGGAAGACTGGACGTTCTTCAAGAAGGAAATCTT